ATAAATAGTATTTACCCCTCAGCCTACGTGGGTGTTCTCCATTACAGTCCAACTGAAGTGGGACCTGGTAATTGTAGAGGAGAGAAAATGAGTATTTTCTAAAACAAGTAACATATTTTCCATTGCATAAAAGAGAAAAATTAGCTTCTGGGAACCAACACCTAGGTTTCACGCACTCTGCTTCTTTTGTTGGTAGATTTGAGCTAGGGAAGAAGGAGGAAGTCATTCTTCCCGGTGCACTCACTAGTCAATTTTTCCTGCTGATCCTAGAGATTCATTCAGGGTTTCACTGGATATACAAAGGAAAAGAATTCTTAGTCTGGCTCGAGGGAAAGAATTGAAAGTCCTAGAAAGAGTAGGACTGAACTGGGATAGTACTGGGGTGACTGGGACTTCCTGCCCTTCAGTTTTTGTTTTTCTGTTTCCGAAGCAGGGAAGTGTTTCCTTAATTAAACATCACTAAGAAATGACAGGAGAAGGGAAGCAGCTGCTTACTCAGTCTCTGGAGTGGACTTTTCTTTCCCTTGATTCTAATAGCTACCGAAAGAGGAAGCCTCAGTTTCCCCTTGCCAGCTACTGTAAACAGCCTATTTTTGGCTGCCTTGCCCAGGTAATTTTTAACTTCCTACAAATTCCTGGGCTCTTTCTGATAAACGGGAAGTTAACAATTATCCAACATAAAATTCTGCCTGAGTTTAGGCTCGGGGAGGAAAAAAAATGGGCAATACCTAAGACAAATGGCCAGACTAGGATCTGTTGGATCCTTGCTTTCTCTGTAATATTGTTAGCAATAGATAAGAAATGCAAAGAGTCCAATATTCATGGAAAAGGGCCTACAAAAATCCTTGCCTTTAATTACCCTGCATTCTCTGTAACAAAAAGACCTAATTTTCCAATAAAAACTCTACAAGCCATAGTTAACTATATTTAACTTAGGTTCTATACTAAGTTTCTCCCTCCATGGGGAGTTTCTTTTCCATTGTTGTTTACTTTCTAATACACTTTTTTACTTTCCAACTCTGAATCTCACCATTTCTATTACTCAGTATTTTCATGTTTGGAAATATTGAAGAACCTGGGAATCATGGACCACACAGAGACCCGCCATCATTTCTCCTGCATCACTATCAGACTAGTTTGATTTGTTTGCTTTATTGTCTCCCCATTAGACTGGAAGCCCCATATGCAGGGTGCCAATATCAGTCACACACACCAGAGTGTAATGCAGCTCTGTGCTCTGATAGTTACTAGAGTCTATGGTCTGGATGTGTAAATTTAATTCTGCAGAGGCTGGGGTGATGCTTAGGTGGTGTAGGAGTTATATATAGGCCATCTGGGGAGGAGGATCTCTGTATATAGCTCGGCCCTGAAAGAACAGTCTGAATATCTTTGCCCATTGGGAAGGTGTGTGCATAACAGTAGAGATTGTGCATAGGTAAACTGCCCCAACTTGTCTGCTTCATTCTGTGTTCATCAGGAGAGGGTCATCAGGAGAAGTATCCCTTTAGGATTCAATTCTGTATCATGTCCAGTCCCTTATACTCTTCAGGAAGATTTACAGGTATCCTGAGGGGTGAGAGCAGGTTGCCCACAGATAGCGTGTTGATTCAGGGTGGGAAGGGATGAGGTTGACAACAGGGGGTCAACATAGCTTCATCCATTCTGCTTTCTGGTGATCAATTTTTAGCACTTGTGTTTCTTACTGCTGGCAATCTTCTTGTTCCTCAAGTTGACTTCTTTCCTAGGCCACTTGCCATTTTTCTTGTCCATCCCTTTCAGCTTAATCTTATCCAGTACCTCAGAAGGGGAAAACCCAGCTACAATATTGTTTAAACTTTGTTGTTAATGTAAGTGAGGTGGAAGGTAGAAGGGTGAGATGAATGAGAACAGCCCATTTCTACTTCTAGCCATCACTGCATCTCAGCATGATACTTCATTGCTTCATTTCATTCTTTGAATGAAAACCAACGTACTTGTATTTAGTGAAAATATTTTCTGTTGTGCTACATGAACAGCTTCCATTCCAAAAGAATTCAGTACCAATTGGTGCCAGGTTCTCGGCTGTCTCCTCAGTGTATGTGCAAGATTGCTTTTCTTGCTTTTTAAAGTTAAGAGGGAACTTAGTAGTCATCAAGTCTACAGCAGAGTCAGATCCTTGGAGTGAAAGTGATGAGTCAACGTTCTGGTGAATAGGTAGAGAATTTTGCCTCCTACAGCACAAAAGCTCTTCCCAACAACCCCTGGAATTTGAAGATGTTCATAAAAGTCACAGCTTCTAGTCCTGGAGTGACTGCCCCCTGCTTGCATTATACAAAATGTTTCCCATACCATCCATTTATAAATTCTAAACACAGCCCTATAAATAAGCTAATGCTGTCATTGTTATTATCACATTTTTCATCATAGAAATAATCAGTCTGTAATTTAATCAGCCAAGTGTTTATTTGGTCATGACCCCAGTTACAGTGAAGGGGTTATCTCAAGCTGTGTTCCATGGGGGCAAGGACTTAAAAAGGTCAGGCAATGAAGTGGTATGAGTTGAGTCATTTGTTTGGAAACTTTGGGGCTGGTTCTTAAGTTTATTTGGCTAACCATGAGTGGTTAGCAAGAATTTTAAGACCATAGTGTAGGGTCTCCAGCAACTGTCAGTGGGCTATTATTTTCCTAGTGGCAAATAAAGGGGAAATGGGGAATTGCTGAGTCAGGCTGTGCTATCTCACCACTCACCAGAGACAAGATGAAGCTTATGATTCAAAGTAGGTTCTATTTTTTTTTTTTTTTGAGCGGGGGTACACCCAATGGTGCTCATGGCTTACTTCTGGCTCTGTGCTCAGGGTCACTTCTGGCAGGATTGGGGACCATATAGGTTGCCAAGGATTGAACCTAGATTTTGGTACCCGGAGCTTTGAAAGTACATGAAAGGCAAGCACCTTACCCCCTGAACAATGCTTCCTCCTTATTGTATATCCCAAGGTATGTTCTATTTAATAAAGAAATGACTTAGAATAGCCACACTGCTTGCGATTTTTCAGTTTATGAGGCACTACCACACTGTTTTCTATAGTAGCAGCACCATTTTTGTGGCATTATTTCTTAAATTTCATAATAGCTCTGCTTGTTTTTCAGAGATCACTCTGGTTTCCAATGTCTTCCCTGTAGGAGGCATAACTAGAGTTTGATTTCTTAGTTTTTGATTCCTAGATGCTTCGTTACCACATTGTTCAGAATGTGGTACCCTTGGTGTTTTTTCTGTACCTCTTGTCAGCAAGCTCAGACTTTTCTTCCATCTCCCACTGCTAGAAAACATGTCAATAAAGAGACAGAAACTGTAAAAAAAAGAAAGTGATCTGATCTAGACAGATGACTTATCTGTGCTGAGAATATTCAGGCATCAGCCCCTGAGCACAGAAGCAGCTTGAATCTGACCTTACCCCATGTTAGTGCATGTGCAGGAGTGCTTGAGACTCTACCATTTTCAAAATAGATCAGAAATTCTTCTCAATTAGTAGTTTTTAAAGTTCTGCTCTTGCTTGTTGGCACTGCTGTAGGTTGGGAGTGTGGGCAGGAGTGGCTGAGGTGTGAGGTAGGTGCACTTGTGGGTGTGTCTGTGCTATAAGCAGTTGAGTAGGAGGCATAAGGCCAGCCGTATATGGGGTACGTAAAAGGTAATGTGTGGGCTAGGGGATGTGTGAGGGGTAGGAATGAGCCTAGGTGGCGGAGAGGGAGGAATATGTCAGGCTTAGAGTGTGTCAAGGCATAGGAATTGTCTTTAGAGAGTTCTGAGGATAAGAGGTGAACAGCTTGGAAAGGTGTGTCTGTTGAATAAGGTGTGAAGTATGGGGTAGATTGGGCTTCTATATGTAAGGAATATAGACACAGGTGTGAGAGTGTGTGAGAGCTAGGATGTCTCTTTTTAGGGGTAGGAGGCTATGGAGTGTGTGTGTTTGTGTCTGTCTGTGTGTGTGTGTGTGTGTGTGTGTGTGTGTGTGTGTGTGTGTACAAAGGTGTATGTTTGGAGGACAAGGATCAGTAGTTGTACTCCAGTAGCAGGGGCTCCTGGTGGATGGAAGGCCGCTGAGGCGCACAGAAGTTCTTACTGCGGGGGAGTAGCACTTCGCCAGCGACTCAGGCCGTGACTCACTTTCACCTGGTCTGGTCAAGGGAATTAACTCAGAATCTCTGCGTCAGGGCAGGATGCATATGTCAGTCTGTATGACTTTGTTCTTAGCAAGAGCCAGGGGAGAAATTGAAAAGGATGAGGGGGAAGTCAGTGGAGCTGGAAGCTCCGGAAGATAAATTGCGTCTCCTCCTGGTCCCCGTCATAAGCAACCAAGGTCATTTCCTTCTCCCTTCTGATTCTTTTCTTGACAAAAGGCAATTGCAAGCATCCCACTCGAGAGAAGTTCCTTCGGAGAGCAGAGCCCACCCCCACAGCCACAGCCGTAGATCTGGAAGCCCTGAAGCGCCTCCCAGATGCCAGGCAGCCTCTGCAGCAGTAACTCTTTATGCACTGCGTCGGCTGCAGACGTTGCAGGGGAGGGTGGCTGGCTTTTATGAATGGCAACCTGGGAGGGGCCTAATATCATTTGCTCCTGATGTAAACGCAAAGAATGAAGCACTTGCTAAGTGTAAAAGCCCCAAGCACCCCGGAGGCACATCCCTTCCTGAGATTGGTTCTCCCAGTGCAGCCTCTCTTGCTGACGAAATCACCAGTCCCATGTGTCATGGATAACCCATTTACATTAGGAGCTAAATGATTCCAAACCTGAGGCTGCGTGAGGATAAATGCGCATCTGATCTCGGCACCCGGCAGCTCTGCCTGAAGCAGCCGTGGCATCTAGCTACCTCTCACCCACGAGAGAACGGTGCCGTGCTGCAGAGACGGCTGTGTGCTAGACGTCTACCAAGCTCGCCTGATGTTCTGCTTTTGCTGGCAGAATTCTTTGCTGAAGCTCCAAGCCCTGGAAACTGATCTGTGCTCTGCATTTTTGACAAACCAGGAAGAAGCTCCTCAGGTGCATGCAGGCAAGAACCCGACTCCAGCGCCCACCCAGAGCGTGCCTGCCGAGGGGGCTGATGCTGCAGGTAAGAGGCTGGGTTGGGGGGGTTCCTCGTTGGCACACCCAAGAGTCCAGTGTCTGGTTGCTCCATGTGAAATGGAACTGACTGAGGAAACAGTACCGGTGCCATAGGAAAGCCGAAGGGATACTTGAGTTGCACCAGTTTGCTGAGAGAAATAGGAGGGACTAAGGTGTGGTGTAGCACAGAGCCTTCCTCCGACCCACATGAATGGGCATCAGGCGAAAAGGACCCACCACAAGGCTTACGTTTCTCTCTCCGGTCTCCAGTGACAAATGAATGGTGTGTTGATTTTAAATCACTGGACCCAGGTATTCTCTGCTGAGCGTCTTGAAACTCATGATGTTTCTGAGATATTGAGGAATTGCTTGTAAGATGATCCATCAGCAAAGGGAAAGTGGAGATGAGTGATTCAGCTTATTCAGATTCTACATTGTCTTATTCTGTTTCAATTTTTTGATATTAATTTATGCTTAGAGATGTCCCAAAGTTGTTTCTTTTTTTTAAACCAATATTTCTAGTTTGAATCCCATGGATAGTAAATTAGCTACAAGCAGATGGCAACCTAATGTTCTCAGGAGCACTTAAAAATACAGAATCATCAATTTACATAGAAATAAAAACAGATACCTTTTCTAACACAAGTGGATCAGATGTTTGTAGACTTGTTTCCAGATATCTGGCATAACTAGATCCAGGGAGCTCCTGCTTTATAACTTGTCCTTTATATTAAGGAAATGAAAGAAGATATTTGCAAAGTACTATTAACAATAGTAGACTTAAGATATTGCTGTTTAAAACAGACCTCCACAGTCTCAGCAGGCAGAACAGTTATCTCTGATGTTTGAATACATGTTAATGACAGTGGCTGTTAATATAGTATCTAATGTTGAGGTTAGGGATTTTTTATGATGTAGGAACTATGCTTAGCACACTCTATATTTGTGTGTATACATGTGGAATATTAAGTTAAAACTGTAAGGTAATTGTGAAATGTATTTTATAGTAGGAACAACAATACCTAGTGTCACCTTACTGGCATTGGCAAATTGCTTTCCTCTAGATGCTGATGCAGTTAACAATCCTTGTTGCTGGGTGAGCCAGCTTGCTCTGGTGGCCATGGTGTTTGGTTGAGTTGCAAGTAAAATTGGGAAGGAGCCAATGTCAAATCAATGAAGTATTTAGCAATTGTCAAGAGATTAATAATACTTTGTTCCACCAAATTCCATATAAACATCATGTAAAAAAGAACATATAAAAGTTTTAAGTCAAATAAGACTTAGCTTTTGAGTTACGTGTTGTTTTGATTAGTTGTAGAAATATTTCTCTGAGTATTTGATTCAAATGTTTAAATTAAATTGTTTAATTAAAATGTTGCATGTTGGATATGGATATGTATATGTATATTTTTATCATGAAGTGTGCCCATGAGTATATGTGTGATTTTCTCCGAAAGTCAAGAGTGGTTTTGAATTTTAACATTCATATTGGATGGCATTTTGAACAAGCTTTTTAACTTTTTGTGAAGTGGAAATAAATGATGAGTGTATGTAGACATTTTTCACATAGAGAAAACATCAATATAATCCATTTAAGTTACCAAATGGCATAAATGCATAGAAGGTTCCTTACAGAGAAGACTTACTGCTTAAATACTGGATTTTTCAAAATATAGATGAATTAGATTCTTATTTCTTGCAACAGTGTCTACTGTTGAGAAAAATTGGAATGAGGAAGGTGTGTTTGGAACAGGGAATGGGAGTCAGAGAGGGGAATGGGTACCTCACAGGTAAAGCTCTTGCAAGATTTTATTGGAGTCTCATTTAAGCTAAGTTATTGTAAAGAATGATGATCCATCCCTTATATTAGACATTGAAGTGCTTTGACATATATTTTTATATTTTTACAATGAGATCCTTTCACATAATCTGGAAATTACCCACTAAGAATCTCTTTATTTGGAAGGGATGTTACCAAAAATGGCAGGCATTTGGAAGAAGCATGTACAATTTTATTTAACAGATGGTTTGGTCTCATTGACTTTACAGACATTATCTAGAGGACGGTCATACATTTCTAATCCATATAGCATTCATAAAGAAGACATTATTGCTCATATCAGCAAACTGGGAAGGCCTGTGAATGTGTTTTTGGAATGAATCTTAAAACTGTAGTTTTATGAAGGATGTAAATCCCTGATAAGGGTGTAACTGTAACAGAATTAGTTTAGCTGTTCATCATACAAAAAAAAAGATTACAATAACTTGTCACTTTTCACCTAAATGGTTGACATATCTGTGAACCTTACTTGTAATTAGTCAGCTAATATCTGTTTTCAACTGATGTCAATCCTTTGTCAGATGTATGGATGTAAATTATTCTCTTAATTGGTAAGTAAAAAGTTATTAGTATTAAAAGGGCACAAACTGTTGGTTTTTATAGAAATATGTAGAGAAGATATGCTATTTAACTTTAAAAAGCAAATATCTATAACCTTAAATTGATATCACTTATGCAGTTTTAAACTTATTCAAAACTTGATTAGAGCATGTATTTATTTTTCTCTTTTAGTGGAATCTGAAATTAAATTTTGAGCAAAATATTATAGTCTTTAAATCCTGAGATCAAAACATTGATTTTTGTCTTCGTGAATGGATTATAAGGGTCACTCCCAGATAATAAAATACCTGCCTAAAATGTTCACCTGTTCTAAAAGTCCAAATTTGAATTGTACTTGAATAAGGGACCCACTTGAAAGCACCCCTTCTGCATTACAATATTCTCAAAGTTTCCCTGAATCTTTCTGCAGGTATTATTTACTGGGGTGCTTTTCAAACATGGAGATTCTAAGGTCTCAACTCAAGACTTTGTGATAGAAGTCTTACAATCTATGGACTTTATCAGCCACCCACCCCACCCGCCTCCCCCCCCCCCCCGAATCAAGTAGTGGGAACCATGATTTGAATGAGCATTGTCTTGGATTACAAGAGAAAAGTCCAGGTTCTCTTTGACTGTGCTCCACCATAATTTCATCAGCTGGAAGAAGCTCACAGACAACAGGGATTTGTAACTCAGGCTGTTATCAAACACCTCATTGTATTTGTTTCATAAAGAGAAAGATGCTTAGAGCCTACAACCACAGGCTGAGGATGGATAGGCTGGGGGCATGGACATGGATAGATTTATGAGATGTAGAGACATTTCAAAAATTTGAAATAGAGGAAAACAGTTACAGGGATGCTTAAGACAATTCATAGGGTAAATCAAGTTTCCAGATTTATTCAGGTTTGTCCCCGTTGTAGAAGCATAAGGCCCACTTCTGTGGTATTGCCAGTTCTAGGCAATCCAGACAGACGTATGTGGCAAATTGCATAGTGCAAGGTGGAAATCCATTTCATACTTAGGGTCAAAGTCCCTCTAATTGGGGGCTGGGGAGATAGTACAGTGGGTAGGGTATTTAACTTGCACCGAAGTAAGTTGGCGTCAGCCCCCAGCATTCCATGGAGTCTTCCAAACATTGTCAGGAGTGATCCTGATCCACACTGCTGGGTGTGGACCCCAAAACAAACACAAGACAAAATTTCTCTAATTAAATCAAGAACCTCTGACTGATGAATTAATCCTTTGTAAATACGAATCTTCAAACTAAGTGAAAAGTGAAATCAATATTATTTTTTCTGCTGAATATTATTTGTAAAATGCACACAAAAACTATAAGGAATTTCATATGACTAAAGATAACCTCTGTTATGTTTGACTCTCGGGGCTTATGGTAAGGTGTTTTTATTGAAAGCCTTTAAAAACAGTGAAAGAGAGGAAAGGTCTCTAATGTTTAAGTTGAGGTGGGCCAATGTCAAGGAGAACCTGGCCTTCTTTCTTCAAGAGACTGTGCACTTGGCTCCGTGTTTCAAATTTCGGGTGCTTATTAAACATGCAGATGCCTGGGATACCATCCCAGAATGTCAAAACATAGAACTAGGACTGAGAATCTCCATATTTTCAAAGCAACATGTGGTGATTCTGAGATGTAAGGAGGCTTAGGAACACTTTGTTGGGCACCATGCTCTTCCAGGAATGCCATGAAATGTCACCTTGCTGCAGTTGCAGGTTATGATTGGATTTCTGGAACAAGGAAATGGTATAATATAAACACTGTGTAAGACTGGTGTTTCATGCCATGTGTTAGCACCTAGACAATCTTGGAAAATTACTTTTCAGTCTTAGACATGTATGGAACTCCAGTCTGTCACAGTCCTCCCGTTGTTCATCGATTTGCTCGAGCGGGCCCAGTAACGTCTCCATTGGAGACTTTGTTGTTACTGAGTTTGGCACATCGAATACGTCACGGGTAGCTTGCCAGGCTCTGCCGTGCGGGTGAGATCCTCTCAGGTAGCTTGCCGTGCTCTCCAAGAGGGGCGCAGGAATCGAACTCGGGTCGGCCATGTTGGCTGCGTGCAAGGCAAATGCCCTACCGCTGTGCTATCACTCCAGCCCCAGAACTCCAGACATCTTTTAAAAATTGTATTCATTGTGGATCTGTGTCAATTATTGCTAATGTTTGGAATCTAAATGTTTCTTGAGGCTTTCAATGTTTTCCTTATATAAACCACTTGTTGCTTTAACTTAAAAATGGCTACTACCTTGGGGATTGATACTTGATCTTTTTGCCCTAAATTGGATTTGTCAAAGCAATAGATTTAAACATCACTGATTTATTGGCACCATTTACAATCTGACAGTATCTGGAGACATGTTTGGTTTAATACCTCACGGTTGAGCACTAGCAACTAGTAGAAGATGGGGGTACCATTGAACACCCTGTAATGCATAGTATCCTCCATGAAACCTTTCCCCCAACTATTGCCATTTATTGTCTAAAATAGCAATAGTGCCAAGGCTTAGAAAGTCTGTTTTAAAAGACTTTAAAATAAATATCAACATTATCTAGCAATGACTTCTTCAAGCATTGTCATGGTGATTGTTTTGTCCTCATGTGAATTTCATCA